GTGGGGAGTGGGCGTGAGGCCGGCGTGAGGCGAGGTGAAAAGTTAGTTTCGCACAGGGCGTGTTGGGCAGTTTGCAGAGTTTCCACTCAGGTGGAAAGCATCTTTCTTATCGGCAGTGCCAGAAGAAGCGCTGCCAACAGCGCCAAAAAACAGCACCTCCCAGGCAACCCCCATATCTGCCCATGCGACAGGACCACAGCAGCCGAGCCACGCCTGTTGCAAACCCAGCAAACCGCACCCAAGCTTCCGTGTAAGGGCGATAAACAAACGGGATTCGGCGCTGCCTTTGCCCTGGACACTTTTCAATCCTTGCCCCGGGCAGCGCACACGCCCGCATGCACGCCAAACCTCCCTGCATCCTCACCTGCGCCAACTCTCCAGGGTTCATGGCATCAAAGCGTTTTGGTCCCACCCTGCTGGAGCGCGGCATGGTGCCCTCGCCCCTGGTTGCCGCCTCCTCGGCCTCGTACATGTCGATGATGTCATACAGGTCACCTGATGGTGCAGGGTGACGTGATTTATGCATGTGGGTGACCGGCGGTCTTCAGGAGCGGGACTCAACACTGCCGGCCGGGCCAGGTATGGGTGGCAAGTGGTGCTTCGCTGAGCTTGGACAGCACACATGGAGCAAGCAGGGCCTGCGCCCTGTCATATTGGCCGCTGGTGCAGGGGTGGCGTGCAGCATGGACGTTAATGCAGCCAAGCACGTGTACGCCATGCCCACCGCAACGCCCACGCACCGTTGCTGTGCAAGAAGAGGAGGTCCTCCCGCGTAAGGCTGCCCACGCTGTCGTCGCCACCGGTCGCTGCGGACCGCGCCTGGTAGCCGGCAACCAGCCCGTCCCACTGCATAGGTGCAACCAAAAAAGGACAGTGCGTCGAGGCAGGCGGGCACTGAAGACGGAAGTATGGGCGAGCGCGGCCACCACCACCAAGGGGTGGCACGTGCCCATGCACGCAATGCTTGGCGGTCAAAGTTGCATTACGGGCCCGCACTTCCCTGGTGACTCGCCTGAGTCAGCATGAGCCCGACTGCGGTCCAATACCGGCCCTCGCCGCAGCGCAAGCGGCGGCCGCTGCTGCTGCTGCTGCTGCTGCTGCTGCTGCTGCTGCTGCTGCTGCTGCCGGCGTTGCTGCTGCCGCTGCCGGCGTCGGCGCAGTCCTCGTTGGGTGCCTCTGCAGCCAGGCGCGCCGTCCGCCTCACCCAGGCATCCTGCTTGTGGATCCTGCGACAGCGGGCAGGGCGAACGGAGGTAGGCGAGGGAGCGTTGGAGCCGCCTGCATAGCTGGTGAGCCAGGTGGCACCAGGTTTCCGGCCGACTACCTGAGGCAAGTATGGGCCGCTCGGTGTGGCGTCCCGGCTTCCAATCTAGTTTCCCTCTGTCCTGGGCTCCCAACACGTGCGCAAGCGTCGGGCGCGGGGGCCGCCTGGGCCGCGACGCGTGCAGCGGCGGCGGCAGGCTCGCACCCTACTGCGGGGCGGCCCTCTGAGATTTCAGATCCGCACCCACCAGGCCATTGGCTTTTTTAGGTCAACCTCTAATGTCTCCACGAAGTATGTGTGGAGGTTGGTATGGTGGTCCATTATGCGCTCCGCTGTGAGCCACCCTTCGGCGTAACCGGCCGCAAACATCTGGTCGGCGTCCGGGTGACGGGGTGACGTCACCACGCGAAGCTTCCCAAAGTTGCTGGGCGTGAAAGACGCGTCCACAAAGGCAGCGTGCGCGACGGCGCCTGCGTGAAATGGGCAAGCGCCGTGCTTGTGCGGTCGAGCGGGTGGGGTGGATGTGTTCAAGACAACAGGTACAGCCGCCACCGGAGGCCAGCGCACCAGTGATGCCACCGGGTTTCAGATGCAGTGCAAAGCGCGCTCCATTACAATGCTCAATATGCAGCTGCCAATGGCTGCTGAGGAGCTGGATGAAGGGGCTGCATGACATCCCACATGCGCACCGTCATGCACGCCTTCCTCGACACGCCACCCAGCGCGGCCACCCTTGAACACGCTGCACGTTATGGCGTGTGGCGGCAGGCGAGCACAGGAGTCCTGCATCATCAAGCTGGTTGGTAGCTCTGCTGCTGCCGCCCTCCGCAGACACACGGAGGCAGCGACAAGCGCCAGCAGCCAGCCAACTCCCATTGTTATGGCAATGGCTGGGATGGCAGCGTGTATGACGATATATGCGACTAAATCAATTACGCTCGACTCGGCTTCGCAGCGAAACGTGATCTTATTGGTCGTGGTGCCACGCTGGAAGCGATAGCATGGCCGCGCCACTTGCTGATGAACTGTGGCGTGCGGCCCAAGTATGATATCCCGCTCAATGCAACGGATGCATCTTGCGCAAGGAAGCGCATCACCGAGCCTCTGTCGGTTGCCACGTGGTGTCCGCCGGCTGCCAGGGGTGGCGGCTTCGCCGAGCTGGCCGTCTGACATCACACACTAGCCTCGCTGTTCCTCTAGTAACTCTGGAAAAGATCATTTATGAAACTTTGGTACTGTCCAATAACCTGTCTAGCTAGACCGCCAAGACTGCAATCAGCACCTGCTGGATTTTCAGCTTGTGAGGTCGGACAGGCGGCGGGGAGCTTCGACTCCTGGCCGACAGGCGCGCGCACAAGGCCTGCCTATCAACAATGATAAGGCCTTGTGCAACACTTGTTTACCGTATACCTTGCCGTCACTTTGCTGACGCTATGCTTTTCCTTACAAGAAGCTAACAACGTGGTATGCAATAAAAAGCAGTGTGGAATTTGTAAATCCTCCCGCACCCTATCATAGAGATTCATCCAAGATTGATGTCAAGAGCTGTGCCTGCTGCTTGCGTCATGTTTGACAGCCCGGTGTTCCAGGCCAGGCGGGGGCGAGCTGCCCTCCCACGCTGCCTTGCTGCGCTGGCCCAGGTGCTAGCGGTCCTGACGGCCCCAATCAAGTACTAGACATGTGCTATTGGGGCCGGCGACTTCCAGTAGTCTGCTGCGGCCCTGGAGGCGGCCACAACAGAGAATTGACCCCCTAGAGCACAGCAGGTCACGCCTCATCAGACGCCAGCCGCTCGCCTCATATCCTATAGCGTCTAGAATATCACATACCAACACATGCTACTACACACATGCTTCACACGACATGCCGTCATCCTCGCCAAGCTGCTGCCCTGCTCCGTTGCTGCCGTCCAGCTAGCGATACTGACACGGCGATGTCCAAAGTTAAGAAGGGCGCCCATGCCGTGTGTGGGCGACCCAGCAAATCACTTGCAATTGTATCATACGCTGAACACCATCACAGGCACACACCTCGAAACTCTCGATCTGAACCCGCAAACCGCGCGCGCCAGTCCCTCGGATGGCCATGCAAATTTAGAACGGTGGAGTCCCGTACCGTCTATTACCCATCGCTTTTCCTCATCCCCTGCAGTGGGGTTGCGCGCCGGGGTCGTGCTCAGGAAGTGCTGTGCATCGTCACCAGTCCAACGCTGCTCAACCCATCACCCTCAGCCCGCTCATGTGCGCTCATTTCCCCCTCAGGTGAACCTTCCATGGACGCGACGCACGATCGGAGCGCCAGCGGCGCCGGCGGCTGCTGCGGCGAGGCGCGCTGCATCTGGCTGGACGCCTTGACTGCTGCCTTGCTTCAGCACAAGGAGCTCCCAGTCGACCCGTTTCGCCTGGACATCCCTTTCATCCTGGATGCAGGCATGTTCATTTTCAGGGCCATGCCAACGCATAATTCAGCCGTGTGCCGCGGCGCCAGCGCCTTTGTGGCAAACATCTACGGAGGCAAGCCGTGCTGCACCGGAGGCAGCGCGTGCGGGCTCGCGTTCGCTGTGGAGCGCTGCCCCATTGCAGCCGCGCCCGCAGCCGCGCCGGCGTCGGCATACACACTGATGATCGCAGGCGTGCAGGGGGGCGGCGCGGTGTGGCTGCCTATCTCTCACTGCCTGACGCCACCCAACGTGGCGCTCCGCTGGGATGCGCTGCGGGCCGCAGTTTTGCAAGGCCACCGGCTGCAGGCGTCCGTGGTGGTGCTGCACGCGGCGCCGCGCTGCGGCGAGGCCGACGCGCTGCGCGTCGCGGCGCCAGAGGGCGGCGCGTCGGCGGGGCCGAGGCTGGGCGGGCCGTTCAGCGACGTAGTTGTGAGGGCAGGCAGCCGCGAGTTTGCAGCGCACCGGGTCGTGCTTGCGGCGGCCAGCCCCGTGTTTCTGGCGATGCTGCAAGGTGCGGACGGGAAGTTGCGGGCGTTGTGCGTTTATGCGGCTTCGTGCATGCATTGCAGCTTTGCTATTTATGTGAGTGAGCTTGTGCTGGTGTCTTTGATTGCATTACTGCGCGCATGCGCGCATGCTCCTGTCATGTGTGAGTCGCTACGCCTCGCCCTGTATCTCAGAACCACACCAACAGCTAGGGCTGCCAACATGACACCCCCACGCGCCATGACGCGTGGGCAAGCTGCCACGCGTCCCGCTCGAGCGCCGTCCCGCCCTTGCCGTGCCCCGCCGCTGCAGGTGGCGGCATGCGCGAGGCGCGCGAGGCCGTGGTTGACATTCGGGAGGCCGATCCTGCCGCCGTCGAGCTGCTGCTGCGCCACTCGTACGGCCAGGCGATCGACGTGCCCCTGGCCCTCGCGCCCCGCTTAGCCGGCCTCGCATGCCAGTACTACCTCGCCACGCCTCTGGTGTGGCACCTGCACCTGTGGCTGTCCGCGCTGCCGGCGCTCGCCGCGCCGGACCTGTTGGCACTGCTGCCAGGAGCGGCGCTGTACTGCCCAGCCGCCTGCGAGGCGCGCCTGTACTGCCTGGCGGCAGCCGGGCTGGCGGAGCTGCAGCGGCTGCCAGGGTTTGAGCACTGGCCGCTTGAGATGGTGGAGAGCGTTGTGAAGCGCGCGCCGCCAGGCGAGGGCTTCGCAGCGGCGGCGGCCTGGATGGACGCGCGGCAAGTGTGGATCGACACGTCTAGTCATCACGAGCGTGACAAGGCAAAGCGGTTGGAGAACATGCCGATGGCGGGCAAAGGGGACTGCTTGGTCGCCTCCAACTGGACGCGGCTGCTGGATGCGATTGCTTGGGACCGCGCAACCCATGCCGATCTGCACGCTATCCGATGCCACTGCGACGGCGTCCGCAACCCGCCGCGCGGCCTCGGGATGCGCCTGTACGACACCCTTGCGAAGCTGCACGCCGCGCTGCTCGCCAAGGGCGGCGCCGCCCCGTAGGACATGGACACGAGTGCACCAAGCGCATAGCACGTGAATGTGGCTTGCTGCGCGTAAGCCCCTGCGTCGGCAGCGGCGCTGCAGCTGGCGGCAGCCACGAGGACCGTGGCCACAAAGCCAGCGCATCGCGAAAGCAATCGCGCACGGGACCCCCTGCGATGTGCATGCCCCGCCTAAGACTGGGGCGGACTGTCAGCATGTTGAGACATCATACCCAGCTGAGAGTTTTGTAGCCTACACATATGGGACCAATCGCGCTGCAGCCTCGCATTTGCTGGCGCAGCCGTGCAACACAGAAGGCCTTTGCTGTCCCGCCCAGCTTTCTTGACCGGGCAAGCAACCCCCTCATGCCACCTTTATTGTACATGCAGGTGTGTTGAGGCTGAAAATAAGTGCGGTTGATTGCGCTTGCAATGTATAGTTGTCGAGCATAGCTCATCAATGTTGCATCCCTACCATGCACCTCGCCTGCACCCCAGCTTGCTGCCGTCAAGGGCCTGCCTGTTGATGCCAAGCGGACCTGCTGGCATGATGGCAAGGCTTGCACTGCGCGATTATGCAGCTCCATGTGAGGGTCACATGGAGCTGCACAATTGTGCAACGCAAGACCATGACCCTTGTGTATTTGCCAAGCGAGCCTTGTGGCGTCGTGCCTCGAGCCTGCCTGTTGTTGTGCGCCCCCTGCTGGCCTTGCCCAGGGTGCAAACCATGTCCCGCCATGCGCCTTGTGGGTCCCGACGCGCCTCACGCCTGCCTGCTTCTTTTGCGGCCCCCGTTGTCCTTGCCTAGGGTGCACGTTGTGTCGCGTGAGCACTTGACTCATGCAGCCGGCGCAGAACGGGGCTGCTGTCTGTCGCAAATAAACCCCTTCATAGCCGTGATGTGCAATCCCTGCTTGGCGCGCTGCATCGTCCTGCACGTTGCCAAGGGCAGTAAGTTGATGCTCGCGCTGATGGCCTTCGCTGCTGTGTGCTTGGGGCCAGCGTGGCACCTGATGTTGCTTTACTACTGTAGACCTCACCTGCCCCCATGCTGTTGGCTGATTCCAGGTGCTGCTGTTTGCTTGGGGCCAGCACCCCACCAGGTGCCGCCCAACACGCCTCGCACCTGTCCCCTCGCATGCACTTGGGCTGCGTGTGGTTGTATCTGACTGCAAACTCCGCCAGCTGGCGTGGCCACGCACGGTGTAAGTTCCAAAGCAAAACTGCAGTTTCTTGAACAGCATGTGCGCATGCTGCGCCAGCAAGTTAGGTGACACATGCTCAGAAAAGATGCTGTTCATGGCGGCCCGCACGCGCCAGGGAAGTGATTGAATGAGCAGGCAGGCTGAGCAAGTGAGCAATACCAGCACAATTGGTAAAGTGGAGAAGGCAGTAACTAAGGCCCCGGCACACCGCCAGTGGTGCCTCGCAACCGCCCCCATCGACCGATAGCTCAACCCATCGTCACTGCGGCCGTCTGCTTGCGGCAACAGGCGTGTCACGCTGGCTCTCTGCCGCATCTGGTCAAGGCCACCGCGGCCATGGGCATGCTTGCAAAATGCCAGGGATCGAGTGAGCCCAACCACCCTTTGAATGCCTGAACATCGCACCTGGGTAATGAGAGCTGCACAGGCCCCCCGCCCCCAGCAGTACGTACAGCTCAGCAGCCGCAAGCGTAGTTCCGTGGATCGTGCCGCCGCCCCTTGCCGCCTGCAGCGCCGCTGAAAAGGCGAGCACTGCCTGCGCGCCCGCAGGGCGCCCAGCGCGCGCTCACAGACAGGCGGTGGCTGCGCAGGAGCCGGCAGCCACCGCCCAGCTGGTCCAGCGTCAGCCCCAGCGCCGCGCGCGCCGCCTCGTACTGCGCCAGCGCCAGCCCCACGTTGCAGCCGCCGCCCACATCCGCCTGGATGCGCTCGCACGGGAAGCGGCGCTTGTGCAGCATCTCGGTGTTCCTGCGGCCCAGCTGCAGGGTCTCGCTGGCGCGCACCGCCGCCATCGCCTCGGGCGCGGGCAGCCGCCCCTCCAGGCCCACCATCCACTCACGCCACGCGTCGTGCACCGTGCGCACGCCGGTCGTGCCGAAGATGGGCGATGCCGCCAGCAGCTTGCGATGCTTGGGCGCGTGGGCCACATCGCCGCTGTCGGCGGCGCCGGCGCAGGCGCTGGCGGCGGCCGCTCATGCCCGCGAGGAGCGTCGAGCACTTGCGCGGCACCGCCGCAGGCGTTAGAGGCGCAGCGGGCTCGGCGCCACTGCCGCCACTCTCAGCCGCGCCGCCTGGCAATGCATCGGCTGGCGGCGCGCTGCACAGGGACGTTGCGCGGGTGCCGCCGCTCAAGCGGCCAACAGTGCGGCCCCGCGCTTGCAGGCGCCAGGGCGGGCGACTCGGAGGGCGCCGCAGACGGCCCCGCCGCGCGCGACAGACCGCCGCTGCGGAGCGCCGTGAGCGCAGCGGCAGCCGAGCCCGCGGACGGCGCCGGGGCCCCTGCGCGCAGCGGCAACTGCCCGGGCGCCGCGCCCCCGCACGGCTCCGCAGCCACACGCGCCGCGTCTGGGGCCGCCAGCGCTCCGTCGCACACCTGCCGGCGCCGCCCCCGACAGCAGCGCGTGCTGCGCCGCCCCGCTGTGTGCCGTGTTGCGCGCCGCGCCCGCGTGCGCGAGAGGCGCGGCCGCCGCCGCGGCAACGACCGCCACTGCGCCATCGCCGCCGGTGCCGCCCCCGCCGCCACCGCCGCCGCCGCCGCCATGTGCAGCAGCGTGCACAGGCCTGCCCGCCGGTGGGTGTCCGCTGGCGTGCAGCGGTGGCGCCTGCGGGACCTCAGCCGGGTGCGGCGCAGCTTCAAGCAGCCAAGCCACCTCGCCTGGCGCTGCGGCCGCCTCCTTCGGCGGCGACAGCGCCGCGCTCAGCAGCAGCAGCGCGCCGCTCGCCTCCTGCAGGGGCCATGGTGCGCGGCCGGCGAGGCGCGCGTGCTGCGCAGCCGCCACCGCTGCAGCCGCAGCGGCCAGCGGCGCGGCCAGCGGCGCTGAGGACGCGCGGGGGCGGCACGGGCGCCGCGCTGGCGTGACCGTCGCGCCCCAGGTGAGCGGGCGCACAGCGGCGTCCTGGGCGGCGGCGGCGACATGCGGTGGATGCCCCCCTCGATCCGCTGCAGGGACAGCGCCAGCGCCGGCGCTACCTCGATCAGCAGGCCGTCGCGCCGCCGCAGCATCTCCTCGTGCGACGCAAACACCTGCTGCATGAACACTTGCCACAGGGGCGTCTCAAACGCGGGTGCCGCCAGCGTGCCGAGCGCGCATGCGCCGCCGTACCTCTGCAGCTTGAATTGCGGGTCCTGCAGCAAGGGCAACGCAAGGAACGCGAGGGGGCGTCGTCAGGGACAGGATCGCGCGCGTGGCAGGTAAGTGTTGGTGCGTTCGACAGCTGCACGACCAGGGGACTATGTGCAGACTCTGCCTCCTGCAGGTTCTGCCTCCTCCAAACAGCGAGCCTGCTCCGCCTCAGCAACCTGCCCCCTCCTTGTACACCATGATACATCCCATGAGCCTGGATGGCTCCAAGAGCGGGCGACCGCGGGATTGTGTAACAATCCTAATCCTAATCCTCCTCAGCCACCCCCCCCCCAAGCACCTGCCACCACCAGGTCCCCAGCCGCTCGATGCCCAGCAGCAGGCCGAGGCCCGACACGTAGGACGGCGCCCCCAGGGCGGCGGCGCGCCGCGCCGCTCCAGCTCGGCCCGCGCCGCTCGCACGCCTGGCAGCCCCAGGTCGATCCACGCGCCCGGCACAGGCGCCGGCACCCGCCCGAGCCAGCGGCGCCGCCTGAAGTCCTAGTCAGAGCCGGCCAGCAGCGCAAACGCCGGCAGGGCCGCCAGGGGGTTCCACGCAGCCGAGGGCGGCAGCGAGGGCGTGGCGCGGCGCAGCGCAGCACGGCACGGGGGGAGGCACCGCGTCAGGCGGATACGAGGCACACGCCCCTCGAGCCCTGCGCGCGCGTGCAATGCTTCGGCATGCTCTCCGCCTCAAGGCAGGCCTCCTGTGCCACAGGGTTTGCAGCCGCATGCGTGCACGTGCGCCCCCACAAGCCGCCCAGAGCCTCCTCACCTTGACCATGTAGCTCGTTGCCATGGGGCCCACCGCCTGCAGCCAGCGGCCCCCTGCGCCGCGCGTTGTTGGGGATCCACACGCGACCAGGGGATGGTTGGCGAGCGCGCAGGAGGCGTGGATGCATGTTGGAGGAGGCTGCGAGCTCCACACACTTCAAATCAGTAACCGCAGGCGCTCACATATGCACTGGACGTCGAGGCTGGCACCCGCTGACGCCAGCATGCCGAAAGCCCGTGAAGCACCCCAGGTGGCTGGTGGCCTGCTTCTGGATGGATGGGCACTGCGCCAGCATCTGGTGCCGGGGCAAGGGGGGAAAGTCAGGCAAAGGGTAGGGCCAGGTGCGGGGGAAGAGCGCCGCGTTGGCAGGGGCATTCAGGCCGGGGTGTTCAGGCGTGTGCGAGGCCCGCGCCGGCCCACCCCCCTGGGTACCTGCTCAAAGCCATAGGCGATGAAACGTGTGCCTCTCCAGCGCCCGCGAGGGGTCCTTGTACATCCGGCGGATCTTGAGCCAGCGCGGGTCCCCCTCCAAAATCAGGCGCGGCAGGTCAAAGCCGCCGAGGGAGAGCTCCGCCACGGCGATGTCGGCAAAGCAGCTGCTCGCAGGGTTTGGGGGTTCCCGCTGAGAGGCCAAGTCAAGGCCCCAGGGTGGAGGTGTCTCACTGCTGTGTGTGAGTGTGACATGCGAGCTCCCCGGCCGTCAGCAGGCGCGCCGCCACCGCCTCAGTCAGGTCGCCCTCTGCCCTGCAGCAAGATGTGGAGAGGAGGGTTGCAAAAATTGCGGATGGGGAGGGGCCGACGGCGGCATGCCGGCGCCTCCTGGCTGAGTTGGCCGACAAACCGTCAAACCGGCAAAACCATCAGCAGCTTCTTCTACAGGCCAGCACGCCTGGCCACGCTCGAGTGCGGTTCATGCTGGTTGACGGGGCGGCTGCGTGGCTCAAAGGGCCCCCGCCAAGCCCAGTGGATCCCTCCCAGGTCGGGCGAGGATGGCGGCAAGTCAATCCGTCAAACCGTTAAAACCGTCAATCCGAAAAACCGTCAGCAGCCGGGAGACCGCTCACCGCACTTCTGTGCGCCGCTCATGGTTGGGTGGGTTGGGTGGGGTGGGGGGCGAGCGGAATGTTGCATTGCCATGCAGGTAGTGAGCAAGCTTGAGCTACCGTGCGCACAAGCAGGCCCCCAATCATCAGCCAGTGGCCACCCCAGCCCCTTGCCACCTTGCGGATGTTGTCCACGGCACCGGCGGGGTCTTTGCTGTTGACGAAGCGGGTCGCCAGCAGGTGGCGCAGGAAGCGGGCGACCTTGGACACTAGGTGCACTGAGGGCCGTGAACGAGGGTTTGGTGCGCTGCTGCTCCTTGACGTACTCCACCCACCGGCCGGGTAGCTGGTGTAGTTGACCTGGGTGCCTGCAGGAGGACGGCGCCTGGTGCTGGTCAAACAACAAAGGCCAGCGGCATCCACGCCGGGGCGCCCCCTGCTTTGCCCGTCCCGCCCCTCGGAGCTGCCGCGGCACTCACTGCTTTTGGAGTTCTCCCACTGGGCCTTGTAGAAGAGCTCAGACTCCTCCGCGGCGCTGCAGCATTATTGCCAGCAGGGTGGTGCGATATCCGTCACAGCCATCCAGCCGCTATTAGGACCCATCCTCACAGGGCCCACAGCGCTCGCAGGCGCCACATGCCCCAGGTCTGGCTACATGCGTGCGGACTGCCAAGGCACCCGAGCAGGTGCATTGCGGCCCGGCCGCCCCTCAGCAGAGGAGCGGCGCGCGCGCGCGCGCGCGCTCACTCGGCGTCGTCCTTGGCCGGGAGCTCCAGAGCCTCGGGGCCATCGTATACGAGCCAGGACAGCCCGTCGACCTCATCTGGGCAGCCTCTTGCGTCCCCGCGGCATTGCTGCAGTCCGCGGATCTCTAGAGGCAGCCCGAGGCTCGCGGGGGCGTTCGATTTCAACCAATCATATGTTGAGGACGCATAATACACGACCAGACACGCGCAAACCGCGCGCAAACCCACACAGGTTATCGACCCCATGAATCGACTCTCTCTGGCCTCGCAGGCCTGCAGGCTGTTTGCAGCCAGGCAGCTTCAACCAAGCAGCATTATGCGGGCCCAGGCATGCGCTGCGTCGTCGGGCGGCCCAAGAAGGCGGGCTGGTCGTCCGTCCCAGCGCCCCCTGAGGGAACTCGTGCAGCAGATTGATGCGCGCCTGGATAAGGTGGACGCGGGCCTGGCTGAGGTGGACGCGCGCCTGGATAAGGTCGACGCGCGCCTGGATAAGGTGGACGCGCGCCTGGATAAGGTCGACGCGCGCCTGGATAAGGTGGACGCGAGCCTGGATACGGTGGACGCGAGCCTGGATACGGTGGACGCGAGCCTGGATAAGGTGGACGGGCGCCTGGACCGGTGGGAGGCGAGATTTGGCTTCCTTGTGGAGGAGGTGCTGCGTCGCAAGGCGGCGGCGGTGGCTGGGGTCGGGGCCGCATACGTGCAGCCGCTGGATGCGCTGTCCCTGGTGGACCTTGCGCAGCTGCTCCCGAGCAGGTTTGCTGACAAGGTGGCGCCGCGGGAGTAGCAGCCGCGCCCAGGCGGCCCGCGGCGCACGGTGCAGCTCGCGGCGGGGTTCGCCTCCACCCTGGCCGCCACCGGCGTCTCGCGCAGGCTCCTGCTTGGCCTGCGGCCACTGGTCGTGGTGAGTGGGACACAAGTGTTTTTTGGCACGCGCAATGCGCGCGCGTGTGGCAAGATGGGTGCTCTTCAGTCAGCACAGACCTGTGGGGACATCGCTCGAGCTCATCGCTGCGCGCGTTGCTGTGTTGCGGTCGTGTAGTGCAACCCTGATTGGGCCGACACCCAGGAGCTCTGCACACCCAGCCCAAGCTCCCGACCTCGCGCGCGGGCGCGTCGCCTTGCGCAGGGAACGGACCCCAGCGCCCCTGCCTGGGTGGACGAGCTTAGCCAGCTGTCCACGCAGGCTTTCGGCGACGCCGTACACGACTTGAATGACCGGGCCCTGAAGCAGCTTCTGTCAAAGGGTTTGAAGGCGGCGACGAAGGACGGCGATGAGCAGCAAGAGGTGTGTGCACGCGCACGGCTCTGCAATCGCTTGCGCGCCAGTGCGTCTGCCTGGCTGGGTGTGTTGTTGTTTTGGGGCTGCAGGGCACTTGCCGCGAAGGTGCCGGCAGCATGGTCTGCTTCTGCTCATGTGCCTGCGCTTGGCGCTTGACTGTGACCCACGTGCACCGCCGTGTCAAGGGATGCCCCTGAGCCCGCTGCCCGGGCGCTTGCTCGCAGGAGCTGCTGAGCAGCAGCGGCGCCGGCATCGCATGCGCCGTCGCTGCGGCGTTCCTGGACGCGTACCTGCCAGCTACATTCGGCGGTGCGGCAGACGGCGCAGGCGGCGGCGCGGGCAACGGCGCGGGCAGCTTCGTGGCGCCCGTGCTGCCGCAGTTCCCGCCGGAGGCTCTCCAGTTTGACCTCCGCGGGCTCGTGGAGGAGGAGCCTGGCCACGTACGCGTCGACATCGGCGAGATCAAGACGCGCGCCGACTACGGCAGCGCCGTGCAGCAGCTGGGGCTGCGGCTGGGCGTCCTCCGCTGGCTGCTGGTCGCCTGCTGCGGCGTGGCGGAGAGCGACATTGGGGCGGTCGGGCGGCTCTTCGTCCCGGCGGTTGGCGAGGGCCGGCCCGCGCCCCAACAGGAGGAGGTTGACGTCCAACAGGAGGAGGTCACCCGCAGCGTGTGGCGGTTCAGCCTGCACCTCCACTGGTTGTAGGGCCCCGGGCAGGGCGGGCACGCAGGGGGCGCGTGGAGGGCGCACGTGCCGCGGCCGCTAGGGGGCTGCGCGCGCCGCGCCGAGCAAAGCGAGTACAGTGGGGTTCCGTTTGGCAGTAAGCGTGGAGCTCCTCTTTCCAGAAACATGGGATGATATATTTTTTGTGTTTGACACTGCATGCCTTTTCCTTCTATTCCTGTTGACGGACAACCGGTTTCTTTTTAGCAGCTTGATCCCCAAGGGCATGCACTTTCGCCCTCGTCGTCCTGCCACCCCTTGACAGCACCCTGTTGCTTGCGCTAAACGCACCTGACACTGAAATCCAGGTCCACTGTTGCCCCCTTGCCTACCGTGCGCCGCAAGTTGCGCACTGATTGTTTTGTAGCAGCTTCCTAAGCGCGGGGTGCGACACATCATTGCAAAAGTGCTTGCGTGAATTGGATCGGCTGGATGTGTGTGGGCTCCACGGCCCGGTTGGCACCTAAGGGTTTGGTTCTGCAATCTGTTATGGCTTGGCTGGGCAGATTTCCAGCGCCTACTGTGCCAGCATAAACCGAATGAGTTGTGTGTTCGTGAGTTGAGAGCCGGCCGACTGTTGGCCATGTCATTCCGGCAGGTGATGGCACTTGGGCAAACCTGCCCCGCTTTGAAGATGCTTTACCAAGTAACGGCCAAAGCAGATGCAGAATCCGTGGCTCCAATATAGGTCCATCGGGAGAATGCTTTGTTCCAGAAGCGCGCAGCGGGCGGCGACTCGCGCTGCGGCGTGCTCGACGCAGTGGCACCCATTGACCAGCAAACGCCCGGAGCTGTGAGAGCAGGCCGTGTGGGAGCAAGCTATGGGGAGTCACAAGCACGCAGCCACCCCCGTGCAAGGGTGGCCAAGAAAGAATCGTGGGACCATAGGAATGAGGGCGTAGGTGACCGTGTGGTACAACTGCCACTGCAGGGCATGGGAGGGGTGCCAGTACATGATCTGGGGGGGGGCGGGGAGGCTCTCGTGGCAAGGATTTGGGAAGGCTGGCTCAAGCCGCGGGCCGTGGGTGCCCCGTTCCTTGAGAACGAAGCACCCGCCCGAGAGGGTGGATTCCGCACGGCGCTGCTGGGTGGCCAGCGGCACCAAGGGCCCTTGGCCCCTGAGCGCCGCGATTCCTGTGAGCCGCCCGCCGCGAGTCCTGGCCTATCGCCCCCCCTGGCTGCCATTGGCGCCCTGCCTGTGATTGCACATGCTGTTTGTTGCAGCGCACCCCGCCGTCGCGCCAGCATACGTATCACATGGGGCTGCACAATTGTGCCATGCAAGCCCGTGCTTGTTTTGACTGTGACCCTGTGTCTTTGGCAAGGGTGCACACTGTGTCGCGCAGTGCGCCTTGTGCCGCCGTGCCTCGCGCCTGCCCGTTTCTTGTGCGGCCCCTGCTGGCGTGGCCCAGGGTGCACGGTGTGTCATGCGTGCGATGCGCATGGCCCATGCAGCCGTCATGAAATGCGGCTGGTGTCTTCAGGGAACCCAGCTTCAAAGCCCTGAGTGGGATGCACGCGCTGCTTGCCGCATGGCATTGTATCTCACATTGCCTATGGCTGTAATGCAAAGCTCACGCACGTAGATGGCGCGCGGGTCGTGCTGATGGCTCGGGGCCAGCACGAGAACTGGTGTTACCTTGCAGACCCTGCATCCGGGCCCTTGATGTTGGCTGATGGCAGGCGCTTGAGTTTATTTGCTTGGGGCCAGCGCCCCACGTGTCGCTTCACCGACCCCGCACCTGTCCCCTCGCATGCAACCTGGCCGCGCGTGGTGCGCCGCCGCTTGTAATTGAGCGCAACATCCGTCAGCTGGCGTAGCCACGCACGGTGTAGGTAGCTTCTAGAGCAGTTCTGCAATTGAATGGATAGCGTGTGCGCGTGCTGAGCCAGCTATCAAGGTGACATAGGCTAAGCAATTATGCTACGGCATCATGGCAGCCCCCATCTGATGAAAGTGACACACACACCGACGGAAGCGCGGGCTCATGTCGCATGCACGTGTGCCGCAAGCGCGAAAACTCATGCTCAGGATGTTGTGTCACTGTCTCAGGCGTACAGCAGCGCAATTGGACGTTGTTGCGCTTTCATGAGGCTGTGCTTGTCAACATTGTCGGCAGATTGTCTGGCCTGGCCCCATCGCGGGTGCTTACAGTTCAGCGGACACAGCATCTCTTGCGGTACTGCTGTTTGCGTGGGGCAGTGCGGCTGCCCCTTGAACCAGTATCTGCGGGAGTGCAGCAGATGGGATTGCTGTTGCAAGGGTCAAGATCAGGGCCTCACGTGCAAACTGTGGACTGACCCATGATGCGGCTCACGAGGCTGATGATGAGATGACTGTTTGCGTCCACATGTTGTGGTGCCTAACCAAGGATCATGGTGCCAAGCCCATGTGTGATGCGCGCTGGGTCATCAGACAATGTAAGCTGCAGTGAGTCAAAGGCCTTCTTTATCATGCTGTTGCCGTGCACTCATCTGCTGTAGCTGCGGCGGGCCGGCTGCGCCGACAAGGCGGCAAGCAAAACGCAGTCACGATGACAGAACCGCCTGACTAACATTCATGTATGCGCGCCCGCGCGCGATTCAAAGTTTCAACAAATAATTGACACTCTGTGACGTGGATCTAGTGCTGTGGCATGCACACAAGATCTCGCGGACATCAGATCGCAGCCCTGGCTTTGAATCCGGTCGCAATGGGCAAGTAGCTTTCACTGCCCTATGCGAAGCGGGCTGCAATGCGCTGTGGGCGTGCTGCTGGCAGTGGTAGCCGCATTGGCGGTGGGAGCGGCGGTGGGAGTCGGGGTCGCAGCGGCTCAGGGCAGGTGCGCACAACGGAGCCAAGCACGCGTCAACAGCATGGCATTTTGGGTAGAGGAACCCGATGATTCCTGCACACGATCCCCGTTTGTATCGCAGCAGTTGCCCATGTGAGCCGTGCCGGTCCCTCCAACTTGCTTGCATCGCATATTCTCCTCCCGCCTGCCGCTTGCTGCCACCCCTGCCCCCGCTTCTCCAGGTTTTCACGCCCTGCTGATGCCAAAGCAGGAGTCCCTGCACCCTCGGGCTCCCAGCCACTCCCTGCTGCGGTCGACACAGCGCCGGGCAGGGCGCCGCCCTCCCCATCTGCACAAACGCCCCCAGCCGCTGCTGCTCGCGCCGCACCAGCCGCCGACGCAAACAATGGCGGCGGCGGCGGCGCAGCGACCGCGGCCAGCGACGTCGCTCCGCGCACTGATCTGAGCCCCGATCAGATCCAGCTGTTGAGGGCCACGCTGGTGTTTGCGCAGGCGTCGGTGGCCGCCAACCGGACTGGGCCGAGGGCCAACGCCACCGTGTTTGACCCCGAAAATTCGGTGGGGTGCGGGGGCAATTTCATGTGCACCTGCATGCGGGCACTGATGGCTGACGCTTTGCAGTTGCATGCAGCTTGCATGCCATGTTGTCGACTGTCGTGCGTGCAGGTAGCTGCCAGCAGCGCACACCAAGGCAGCACAGCACCTAGTGTCGGTTGAAGCTCCCCCCCTTGCCCCCATATCCCTGCGCGATTCCGAACCTGCCAGGCGTTTGACCGTCTGTTCACCTTCCTGAACACGACCAAGGAGGTGCTGTTCGCCGACCGGCCCCGCATACGCGCCATCGTCTCGTACCACATACTGCCCGTCGTGGTGACCACTGCTCAGCTGTTCAACGGCCAGGTGCTGCCCACTCTCAACCCCGACGCCAACATCAGCGTCGCAAAAACACGTGGGTGGTGCAGGCGCTCGCATGTGCAGGTGTCCAAGACTTGTTGCTTATGTCTTAATGCTGGGCTGCTTCCACGAGCGCCTCCCAAAAGCGGCGAGCGTAACACGCGTGAAGGGGCGCGCAGTGCAAGCAGGCTCCCCACCCCTATCCTGCCTCCCCCTCAAAGCAGGTGCCGGCGCCATCACCCTGTTCAACGCCGCCTGTCCAGCCTGCCCCAAAGCAAGGGTCATCAAGGCAAACATCCCAAACATTGTGCCTGATGCCGCCGCCAAGCGCGACTTCACCATTATCCACATGATAGACACTGTGCTGCTGCCGTCGCTGTGATGCTGGCTGCGTCAATTCTCGTCCTTTGCAGTTGGTGGTGCCATGCGATAATAAGTGTTGGTTTGCGCCTCCCTGCATGGGTGCGCTGCACCCTGCTTGGCAGGTTCAGAGCAGACGCCATGTTGTGGGCCAGGGAGTGGTGGTGGGGTCATTTCTTAACAATTTGGGGGCGGCGGCAATGGGCAGGGCAGGGAAGGGGGTTGTCATCGATTTCTCCACATCGCCAAGTCCTGGGGGCACGATAACGATGATGATTAATCAATTAAACTGCAAAAAACCTGGATTTGCGCAAACGTCCAGCGCCGCGCCCCATCACGCAGCAGGCTCACCCTTTCAAGGCCCACGGGGCAATGCGGCTTTGAGAATGAGGTGTGCCCAGCCGCGGGGCTGTGGTGGCACGTTTGTTAAACGCATGTCAGCTCGCGACTTGTTGTTGTTCGTTTGTAACAATCTTAAGTGCACGAGAGCGGATCCGCACAGCATGGAGGTGTTGAAGTAGGTGGAAATGGCAACATCAGGGCGGTGGTTTCGGACTGGCAACAATGCATTCATTATCTGTATGAGCCAGTAGCCAACTTTCACGCAAGCGCTGAGGAGTCCCTGGTGCGACTTGAGGCTCCTGCCCCGCCTCAGATCTGCCCCCCAAGTCATTGGATGCAGGGGCCTCGGGGGTGCAGGGGTAGGCAGCTTCGTGCTTGCTTCACACATGTTTTGGCTTTGCGGAGTTGCAGGTCAGTGCCTTTTCACTTTATTTAATACTCATACTCTCCTGCACACATCTGCATTGCTAATGGCCGTCGAGAGCAGGCGCTCACTGTCGCAGAGGGCGCTTTGCGCACGCCTCCCACCCCACATGCGGTTCGTTCGACAGGAGACAACACCTTGAGCAGACAGCCGCATCCTTGAAACGTCCAAAGCGACCACCCTTGAACAAGATGAAAGCAACTGCTGGCGACAAGTCCCTCGCGCCATCAATTCAGTCAGTTCGGCTGCCTCCCCAGCCAGGTTGCCAAAGGGCTGTACACATTCAAATCTTTGGCAGCATACAGAGGTGACACGCTCATGGCAGACTCACCTTCCATAGCCGCGGCCATAGTTGTGGCCTTGCTGTGGCCTTGTGCTGTCCTACATGGTTGTGGCGCTTCGCGGTCACTGCGCTCACCGGCCCGCTGTCAATGGGGACGCTGCATCAGCCGGAGCAATCGCGCGGAATCAGCGTCGCAGCAGGCATACGTGATCATATTCACTTGATCCCCGGTGAGACGGTGACGGCCGACTACGACTCCAAGGTAGTGAGGTATACTTTTATATTCACATGCGGACACCTATTGCTGCAGTTTAAACCCAGGCCGTCACTACCGGGCGGCGCTTTTGACACACCTCAGATCGCACACAGCTGCCCAGGGCAGCGTCATGAGAGGGTATGTATCTTGATAAAAATACTTGGTGCACTCTGCGCAAGTGATACCGCTTGCACCTCACCCCGCCCATTGCCTCTTTTCCCTGCCCAGGCTTGCTCTGCCATCTTCGAACAGCGCTCTCGTAGGCTGCGGGCGCAGGCAGACCTTTCGGGCTATGCGGGCGCTGTCACAGCACCCGCAGTCGGCTGTCGGGCCGCGGCTGGTCGACGACGCTGAACCCGGCAGTGGCCAGGTGGGTGGGGGGTGCGGCGCACCCTCGTCTGCGTGCGAGCATGCTGCGCCTTCAGCCCCAAAATCAGGTGCCTGCATGCACGCATGTGTACCATGCGCCCATGCGTCTTGGTCGTAAGCTCCGAATCGCTTCGGATTGCAGGCAACTGCAGATGACGCCCCGGCGGGCGCGGCCCCCGCACGCCGGCAGCGAGGGAGCGCCAAATTTCGGTTCTGGCACGACGAGCGGCGGTTCAAGGGCGCCTCCGACAAATGCATCGTGCAGCAGGCGCTGTTCGACGCGGGTGCGCTGAGGCAGCTGCAACACGTGATGCGTGCGGCCGTAAGCAGCGCCGACCACGTCAGCAAAGCAGTTTGATTGCTCCCCAAAAGGAGCAGAGGACGCGGCCCCCCCAGCATCATCATTTCTGAACCCTGATTGAACCCACACCGCTGGTTGCAGGGGGCGTCCGCACCGGTGGCTACCCCAAGTGCTCGCCGCTGCCCGGCCCGCTGGGCCACCAGCGCGCGCGCGACTGGGACGTGCTCTGGTCGCCCGCGCGCACTGCGCTCAAGGCGCTGCCGGCGCTCAAGCCGGGGCAGCTGATCAGTGCGCTGCCGGGGATGATGAGCGTCACGAAGAAGGTGCGGCCGCGTGCGTTTGCGCGCGTGTCTGTGCACGCGGTTGCGGTCGGGGTTCATGCTGTTGGGCATCGCAGCGCGTCGCGGCCGGCTGAGAGCGCGCCGGTGCATCCGCGCGATATTCATCGCTGCCGCCGGCTGCGCTTCCAGGTGGAGTCCTACCGACGCGCAAAACCTCAACCCCTTGAAAAATCAAACCACGCCGCTGGCCCCCTCCACACCGTGCGTCGCGACCCCCGATCCACCCCACCCGAAACCCCCCTCCCCCGCCCTCCCGTCTGCAGCGCCGCCTGAGCGTGACTCTCAAGCAGGCATACGGCGCCGACGCATTCAGCTTGGTGCCCCTCACATTCAGCCTGCCCGCCGAGTTGTCTGCCTGGCGCGCGTGGCTGGATTCGGAGGCGGCGGCGGGGCGGGACGCGGGGCCCTGGATGCTCAAGACGGCGCAGCACCTCGGCATGGGGCTGTGCCTGCTGCCTGGGGAGCAGGCCTATGCGCACACACTCACACCCAGGTGTGGTGCTGCGCGGTGCGGTGCTTTGTCGGCCGACTGGCAGGCGTTTCCTGTCCTTTTTCCTGCGAAACGCGCGCTTCTTTGTGACAAAGCGCTGTGATGTGCCGCTTAGCTCACCCACACGGAGACAAAGCCAGAGGCCGCGTCCGGCGCTTCGGCGCTTGCTGGGGCCGGCCCCGCCGGGCCCGCCTCTCGTCCCGCCTCTCGTCCCTGGCCCCACTCCAGTGTCTCGCCAGCCCGCGGTCCCACCCTGGCCCCTCCCTGCGCTCGCCGCGCCCCTGCCGCCCGCCGCAGGCTGCCCGCCGCCAAGCCGTGGGTGCTGGCGCAGCGATACGTGGCCGACCCCATGCTGATCGACGGCCGCAAGTTTGGGGTGCGGCTGTGGGTTCTGGTGACGGGCGCGGCGCCGCTGCGGGCCTACCTGAGCGACCGGGGGCTGGTGCTATTCAGCACTGAGGGGTGAGCGTGTGCGAACCGCTGATGCCGCGGCCACTGCCGCCGTGATGGCGGTGGCGGTGGCGGTGGCGACGGG